TGCTACACCCACCATATTCTCCAGACCTGGCACCATCGGATTATTATTTGTTCCGGTCACTCCAAAATTTTTTAGACGGTAAAACCTTCACCTCAAATGAGGAGATCAAAAACCTCCTTGAACAGTTTTTTGCCAGCAAGGACCAAAAATTTTATGAGCGTGGAATTATGCTACTACCATAAAGATGGGAAAAGGTGTTGGACCAGAACGGTCAATATATAAGTTAATAAAGTATTTGTTTATTATACGAAAACTGTCTTTCATTTCCACAAAAAAAACGAAATGACTTTCCGAACAACCCGATATTTTTGAGAAATTAAAAATTTTATCATTGCAAAATCCGTGAGTGTAAAAATTTTTGGTAGGCACGTCCATGATCTAATACCCACCTAATTCCAATTTGTAAATGTATTCTGCTTCTCTAATGCATTCAATTATATAAGGATCGAAATTGACTTTGTATCTTTTGGTTCCCGGTTCTTTTACCAGGACTGGCGAACTTAAACCGGTCCGAACCTGGAAGAGAGGTGGTTTAATAATTCAAGACAGGATCGCGTATTGTGTAACATCTAACATCCGAAACTAGCAAAATGGTAATATCATAACGTAACCAGCATGACAGTGATTAAAGTTGCCGGATAGAGCGTCGAACGGTTGATAATTGAGTTTCCTTTCGGAAAGATGTTGCACATAAAAAAATTACCTGGCTGACGTTTCGATACCATCCCTGATGGTACACTTGTTCGTAGTGAACGAAAACACAAGCTAAGGCGTTAAATAGCTGGATACATTTTTGAGATTTCCTATGTCTCATAACCTAAAATTAATTAGCCAGAACAATTATTTCATTAAGGAATAAGTATAACATTTAAATGATCTGTTACTTAGTATATTTATAAAAGATGACAGTTGAAGGATAGAATTTGGTAGATATACCAGTGTATACTTAAGGTAATCTTCAGGGATTTCTGTTTATAGAAATCATCATAATATTAAATTTTATGATAGTATCATAATATGTTGGTTTGCTAATTATTATTAATTAGAAATGTTTAAGTATTTCCTTTTATAATTTTAAATTTTTGGTAGAAGTGCAAGCGTTTACTAAATGTAATTCATTTGATTAATTTTGAAATTAGACAAGCACAAAAGCGATTTCTTTCATTTAGGAAGAATATTAGTAGGGAATTTAGAAGAAGGAATTAAATAAAAAATAGATTTGCTAAAAACGATTGCAATAGTTGACCAAAATCGATTAAAAATTTTAACAGAAGGTTTTATTCGCATTTTCCTAAAATCCCGAAAAAGAAAACAGTGTTTACTTCCAATTTGGAATGCAAGACTGAAAGAATGTCATCTTACTCTGGTTTTGGGCCTAAAAATTTCCATTGGTTCTTCCATTCTCGCGTATAACTGCCTAATCCACATAATCCTCCCACTTACTGGAGGCATATTTCTCGGTAAAATGGGATCACGCCTATCTTCGTTGTATTTGTCTCTTAAAAACTCGATTTCTGTTTGTAGTATTTCAATTGCTTCAAGATACCTTTCATCCAAACGTAAGCACTCTAACTGGAGCTTTTCGAATCTATAACGATTAAAAATATAGCTATGACCCCTTTTTAATGTTAATATTTATTTTGACTATGAATCAGTTTCAACAAGTGAAACTACCATAATCATCATCATCATCATTATAAGGTTGTCAGTCCTAGGACTGGTTGGACACGCACCTCCACTCTTTTCTATCCTGAGCTAATCTTCGCATTTCTCTAAAACTAGAACATCCCATATCCTTAACTATTTGCGAACAGTAATCTAGTCTATAGGGTTGTTCGGAAAGTCATTTCGTTTTTTTTGTGGAAATGAAAGACAGTTTTCGTATAATAAACAAATACTTTATTAAATTATATATTGACCGTTCTGGTCCAACACCTTTTGTCATCTTTCTGGTAGTAGCATAATTCCACGCTCATAAAATTTTTGGTCTTTGCTGGCAAAAAACTGATCGAGGAGGTTTTTGACCTCCTCATTTGAGGTGAAGGTTTTACCGTCTAAAAAATTTTGGAGTGACCGGAACAAATAATAATCCGATGGTGCCAGGTCTGGAGAATATGGTGGGTGTAGCATTGTATCCCATTCAAGCTGTAAAAGCTTTTGGCGAGTGACCAAACTTGTGTGAGGTCTCGCGTTGTCTTGGTGAAACACTACACCTTTCCTGTTGATTAGTTCTGACCTTTTCTGTTGAAGTGCATCATTCAGTTTGTCCAGCTGATGACAGTAGACTTCCGAATTAATCGTTGTGTTATCCGGTAAAAGCTAAAAAAAAACGATTCCTTTAAAATCCCACCAAACAGACAGCATCACCTTTTTTTGGTGAATATCGGCTTTGGAAATGGTTTGAGCCGGTTCATCTTTTTTGCTCCATGACCTCTTGCGTTTGACGTTGTTGTATACAACCCATTTTTCGTCCCCAGTGATGATGCGCTTCAAAAACGGATCATTTTCGTGACGTTTGAGAAGCGAATCGCAGACGTCAATGCGGCGACACAGATTTCTCTCTGTGAGAACATGGGGAACCCATACATCGAGCTTCGAGGATAATCCCAGGCCTTTCAAGTGGTCATAAACTGTTGAATTTGATAAATTTAACCTCAATCCGATCTCACGTGTTGTTATTCGCCGGTTCACATCAACTAATGCCTTTATCGCGTCTTTATCAGCTTCAACCGGCCTTCCCGAACGTGGTGCATCTTCGACATCAAAATTGCCGGATCGAAATTTAGCGAACCAGTTCTGGCACTGGCGTACTGTCAACACACCTTCTCCATACACATCAGTCAATTTCTTTCTGGCTTGAACAGCATTTTTACCCTTTCTGTAGTAAAACCAGTAAGATATGTCGAAATGCTGCTTATCGCTCTCCATATTTAAAAGGGCACCAACCAAAAACTACTGCGTAGAATTAATTGGAATTTTTCACACACAAGCCTTGCTGTATGAGCTCTCAATGCATATAAAAATTATACGACTTAAATGTGAAGTTGGGTGCAAAAGAATACAATTAAATCCTCTGTCGGGAAAAAACGAAATGACTTTCCGAACAACCCTATAGTTCTACCTTTACCCATCCTAACTTCCGTTTCTGCCTCTATTTCTCTGACTAGACCTTCATGCCTGAAAAGGTGTCCTACCAAACTATCTCGCCTATTACTTATTGACTTCCATGGAGTTCTCTGTTCTCCTATTCTTCTAATATCTCTTTATTTCTAACTTTCTCTATCCACGGTATCCTCATTATTCTAACCTTTTCTCTTCCGCAGCTCCCACCGTCCATAATATTAGGGAAAAGCGGGAGAACAGAGGCTGCTATGGAAGTCCATAAGAAATAGGCGAGATGGATTGGCAAAGATTAGCTCAAATTAGGAAAGAGCGGTGGGTGTTTAAAGGTCTTCCCTTCTAACTTCGTGAATAATAAATAAATCTAAATAATAAAAGTCTGGAACCTCTTCAGAAGCCTAAGCACATTGTCAATATCTGTGAGCTTTTCCAAAGATTGGCCCACAAATTCTTCCAATTGCCATTCCGTGTCTGCTACGCTTTTCTTGAATTTCGCGTAGTCCTTGTCAAAATAGTCTTGTCGATGATTCAAAGCATCGTACGTCTTTGTCGAAATTGTTTTGTAAAAGTCGTCAAACCTTTCGGCATAATAGTCAATGTTCTCGATGGTGCTAGCGTGTAAGATCGAAAATTTCACTGTTGTGTTTATAACATCCACGATCTGTGCGAATACGTGAAACATTAGAATGAATTGCGACAGGTCTTGCTGAATACGATACCTCTTCCAATCTTTTCTTAAACGTTTCAAATTTGGCAAAGACCATCATCTCAGAACAATTGAAAGGCGGTTCTCCAGCCTCTTCCATGGCATGTTGGTTCCGTTTGAAGCACTGATAGTACTTCAAATACAGGTCCAAACAAACCTAAACAACAAATTAAGTGGAAATGAGTCTATCACACTGTATGCGTGGTTTTATCGGAAAAGAACGCAAGTAAAAGCAATGGGTGTGACGACCATTAGAAGACAAAGGCAAGATTAAGACGTTAAGGATCCTTGACCGTCATTTTTTTCAGTTAGCAAAAGCATCGCAATTTAATCTTAAGTCTTAACCTTTAGTCTTCCAAATTCAACATTTTTAGCATCAACGCTCATTGCTCATTACTAGCCAAAACTTTTTGGAAAAACGTCACTCCATACCTTGATCTTTTCCAAAATCACATCTCTTGGTTGAATCCACACTGTTTTCGTTTTATTTACGTTGATGTAAGTGCGACAAACGTTTATCATTTGATTCGATACTTTGACCAGCATAGCCGTCACACTGGCAGTGTTATTGAAATATCTCGACGTGGTAAAGACCATCCTGATGGCGTACATGAGACTCGGGATGTAGTCGGCTATTTGAACGGGGTCGCAACGGTAAAGTGGTTCGTAAAATTTTTCCAAAACGTACAAAAACTTAACATTGTCATAACATTCATTACGTGAATCTGTAACAGCGTTGTCCATTTTTATCCATTTTCTCTGAAAATTCGTTGACAAATAATGAAGATCGCGATTTCGGTGTTGTTTATTAATTATTAATATTTTCATTAACAGCAAATCTCAGTAGATGGCTATGTATAAGTAGTTTGGTAAGTCAACACTGAAGAAAAGTGTATAAAGTGGTACAGTGAGAAACTTTCTTGGTGAATATTAACAAGAAGATTTAAATTGTACGCTGTTGTAAGGGCATAACGATATTAATCGGGGCAAGAGGTCACTTTTGAGTCTGGAATATTTCGAATTTATGTTTCAATCTGTTTTATTTTTGCACTTTTATTAGCACAATTAGCAATTTTTGGATTGCCGACGAAGTTGGTGATTGATCGAACTTGGATCGAACGGTGAAGAGTATAGAGTAGGGTTATTTTTGGCGAAGACTAGAGAAGTTAGTCGACACCTTCGTAGTTTAATGAAGTAATTACTGATGAGCGACGGTCATGTTATGTATATTTTATAAATTCTGGCTAGAAAAATTGAGTTGATCGAAACCCATGAGTTTGGAGCTATTTGCTCTTAAACCTTCCCTTGACTACACTCATAGGGGGGGGGGGTAATAATAGGGTAAAGATATACAGGTCGGACGAAGGAAGCTGGCGAGCGGTCGAGCAGGTACTTGCCCATTTATGGCCTTTTTGGGTAAGTCACTTGGAACCGCTACACAAATAAGCTTTTAGTAGGCGTAAATTATAGTAGTAATACAGATAGGAAACATAACTTACTAAAAAGAAAAAATAAACCTATTGCTTTTGTTTTATAGTTGGTTTTCACATTCTCTGTCATCATGGGAATCTCTATCACTGTCACCAACATCAACAATTAGTTCTTCTGTTTGCCTGTCTATTACTTGCTCACTGATCCCTATTTTTAAATATTTAATCTACGCCACTGATAGAAATACCCAGGGGCGGATCTACTTAAAGGCTTTTTGGGCTGCAGCCCAGGGCCCCGTGGATACAGAGGGCCCCCAACCTGAACTGAAAACAATAGACGATATTGTCAATAATAAAAATTATCTAGAATTAAAAAAATCCGATCATAAGGTTGACAACACTGCGGTCAATCAACCCGTGTGCGCATCTATCAAACGGAACGGGGAATTCCCCGTCGCCTGTTTTCGGTCGGTGTATTCCGTGTATTGTCTATTACTGGGGACCCTCCGCTTATCGCCCGACGCAATTTTGTTATTTTTCCGCACTTCTGCTATCGTCGACTATATTAACGAATTGACTTTGTTATTGTTAGAAATGATTATTATCCAAATAACGTAGGTGGACATTTAGTGAATGAGTGCATTCAGTTAGAATCTTAATTACTGTAGTCTATTAATTACTGTAGTCTAAGACAGAATCTTACACCTCTTGCAGTGAAATTTTTTGGGTAATTTATGAAAAGAAATTTGTTGATATTTTCCCAAACTGCTATACCATCTTAAAGATTTTGTTAACGTTGCCGATCACTAGCTGTGAAGCGGAGCGCTCTTTCTCCAGGATGTCGTATATAGAAAACAAATACAGGACAACAATGTCGAACTATCGACTAAATCATTTATCAGTTCTTTCCATAAATTGCGATTTAACAAAGGACTTACAGTGTGATGACCAAATAAAGGAATTTGCGGCACAAAAATGCAGAAAGGTTACTTTATAATTTATATAACATAACCATTCATACTTAACATATATTATATATATATCTACATCACTACAGAAAACTGTTTTTTGACAAAATGGCAATTGGTTGAGTAATTAGGTAGGGCCCCTAAGCAGTATTAGCCCAGGGCCCCACAAATTCAAGATCCTCCCCTGGAAATACTGAAGAAAAAGGGCTGCAATCGTTATACCTAAAACTGCCTACTTTTGCCACCGCGCATCCACGCCATTTTAAAATTTCCGCCAGCTTGCCCCGTCAGGCCTGTACCTAATCGTTACTATTGTGTTGCGGTTTTAAAAATTAGAATTTTACTACTAACACCATTACTTATATGAAGATTAGATCTTCAAAATTAGTAGGTATTTCGAATGTATAGATGTTTACCTACCCTCACAAATCGAGATCTTGCTTTATTCAAAAACTGCAGGTGTAAACTGCATTCAGGCGAATTGACAAATTCAATAATACTTGCAAATTTTGCTAACTGTCTTCTCCAATATTCGATCTCAACGTAGGGTCCAACAAATTCGTTCTCTCTTCTCAGCTGATTAAATTGCGTGAGCACCTTTATAAAAAATTAATTTATAATGAGTAGGCACTTTTAACTAGTAAGGAAGATAACAAATAAGAAAGTTCGTTTGCCAATAACTACTTACAGTTTGAAACGCAGTGGAAATTTTATTGTTAGTATGCTAATTATCATATCAAAGAGAAGAAACGTAACACGTTGCATATAGATGGAAATCGAGAATTTCAAAGTTGCAGCAATTTCGCAGAATTTACAACAAAAAGAAAAACATAAAATCAGCTAAATCTTAAAAAACTCGTTTTTTCATCAAAAATCGCCTGGTAAAGTCTCGAAAGATATGAGAGAATTCCTAACCGATTTAGGCCAAGACGGCTGGGAAGGATTTACTTAAGGGCTTTTTGGGCTGCAACCAAGGCCCCGGGGATGAAAAAAGGTCCCCACTCTCCAATGAAAACAATACACAATATTGTGAAGAAAAGAATTTCCCGTAACACGGATACAGATACTTATTTTACTGCACCATTGCTTATATGGAGTAACTTTATTGATACTATCCATTCCGGTTGTTTCGATAAATTGATTCTGACCAAGAACTTAGTGTTCTTTAAGTGAAGATTGGAAAAACTTTGGTGGTTGTTGTAGAACAAACAAAATAGCTCAAACCCCAACGCCAAAACACGACACTGTAGTTGTCCGAAGCACTTTTCGGTAACAAGGTTACCTTCTTCAGGGATTGAAGTAAACTAAACCTAAATGAGAACTAATCCTAATTTATACTGATAGTTGTTAAGGTTCAGTGAACATGACCCGAAGCCAACAAGGTAGATGTTCAATGGACCTTAACATCATCATCATAAACGTAATTAAACTAAACTAAATAGCGGAGATCCAGGGATGGGACCGTTGTCATTGTTAAGAACAATTTGTTTATTTTTATAAATGTATAAACTTTCAAAACTGTTTAGTAAACGATTATTCCTAACTTCTTTAACTAACTTAAGGTTATTAATATTAATATTATGTCCATCAGTAAGAATATGTTGGGCAACACTAGATTTTTCTTCTCTACCAAACCTAGCATGAGCTAGATGTTCTTTAAATCTGGTTTTGATTGAACGTCTAGTTTGTCCAATATATTTTTTACTACAGTCATTACAACTAATTTCATATATCCCCGACTTTTCTAAGAATGGAATTTTATCCTTAGGGTTACCAAGGAGAGTTTGAATGGAGTTGCCATTTGAACTGTAAGCAATCCGTAAACCAAGTTTTCGAAAAATACCCTCGAGTCCGCGAGTAAATCTTGGCTCGTATGGCATAGTAATAAACTTGGTTTTATTAGCATCTGTTTGAAAAGTCGTAGATCTTGAAATAAAATTCCTAAATTTTATCTTATTAATTAATTTATCAATAATGTTACAATTGTAACCATTGTCTTTTGCAATTTTCTTAATTGTACAGAGTTCCTTATTATATCTATTTTTACTAAGAGGGAAGCTAAGTAATCTGTGTACAAGGAAGTTAAAACTAGCCATTTTATGTTGAACACAATGATTAGAGTCGTTGGGTATATATCTAGAGGTATTAGTGGGTTTTCTGTAGATGTCGAATTCTAAAGAATTCCCATTTCTTATAACCAACGTATCTAAAAATGGTA